CTTGACGTTTTTGCAAATAACTTTTAAATGGTGAGGAAATCAACCAAAGTGGAAGGTATTGTTCCGAAAGAGAATAAAATTAATTTTAATAAATTTAATACAATACTAATGAATAAAGATGTTTTGAATTGAACTGAATAGTATAAAAGTTATAAAGCGTTAAAACCCCGTCATTCATTTTGAAACACCCGGTACAATTCCATTAATCTATGTTCAATTAATCATTAATAATATCCATTCCATAGGCTATATATATTTTTTTTTACAAAGCCCACAACTTAGTTATTTATTAAATATGTAAGAGAATTGCAATACATCAAAATTTCTTATATCATTTCAAAATTAGTCCTTAAGGAATCAAAATTCAAGTAAGCAGGGAAACAGTGATCCATGTGTTCAACAATAGACCCATGTGAACATTGAGATTGATGAGAGGAAGCCATAGTTAAAAACTGTTAAAAGGAGGAGTCAAGATTTTATTCAAATTAAATTTAACTTAATTGCAATAAGCAAAACCAGTTTATATCAAATTTATATTACAGTTAACCTCTAGAGGACTCACTTTCCACATTCTTTCTATATCTATTCTAAATATAATTCAGTTTTAAAAATCTTTGTACAACTATATCTAGAGTTCTACTGGACCGATTTTATTAATTAATGGGTTGATGGAAAGCTTAAAGGCGGTTCCGCGGACGGATGCAAAAATAAATCGTTGCCCATGTTATCAGATGGGACCGTTCACATTGCGCCTTGATACGTAGCGTCCATCTGCGGACGCAGAATTTCATCCGTGGACGAACTGGCGGAATCGCTCCGGGAGCGATTTTTCTAAAACGTCCGCGGACGTCCACGCTCTCGCGCATGCGCACTAAGCACCAAACCACGTTTAGCACAGCGCGGCATCTGTCCCTCACCTCAGTGTTAATTGTATACATTCATATATTCATACATACTCAGTTGTATTCATATATTTAACTTTACTTAACTTAAAACTATTGTACTGTGCTACTACTACTTGTTGCCTATTTTAAATATTTTTCAGTAATTATAATGTTTGCTAAAGGGTATAATTTTTTTTTTTACTTCAATAATTTCTATTTTATTATCAAACAATTTTTTGTAATAAGTTTTACTCTTACGGGTTTTCCAACAATTATGTTATTTCAAAATATCGTTGTATGATTTTCAACGACCTATCAATTAATTGATTCCACAGATAAAACTATAAGCATTGATGTATAGTATTATGTATACAAAAAATCCCGCCCACCTTTAAGCACATTAGACAATGTGAGATTGCATTTCCATATTACCATTGCTCGGTACATTTATTTAATAATCCCAAATAATAGATAAAAAATCATCAATAAAAAAATCGTTTATCGGAATTCTACAGTTTGTCTCGGTTTTCTTTATTTCACCATTAATCATTTTCAACACCTCTTCAAACTGATTGGCTGTTAATCTAAAGTATGTTGAGAATCTGTCTTCATCTTGCTTCAGATCGTTCATTAGGTGATGGAATTCACAAAATCGCTACCTCTTCCTGTTAATCGGATAAACCCACTTTGTCATTTTTGGTAATGGGTACAAAAGTACAACTTCGTCGTCACTATCATCACTACTGTACTTGAATCAAGCCACGGAACAGAAAATCCGGACTGATACCATGTAACAATATGCACAGACATTTTGTACACCTCCACCGAGTTGTAGGAGGAATGACCAATTTCCCTACAGTATTTGCATTTGCGAATGAGTGGACGTTTGAAACGTAGCTCGCAATTTGAAGGGGGCACTTAGCATCCATCCGGATCATTTCATCCGTCCGCGGACGAAATTATCGTCCGCGGACGCCAGTGTGAAACCGCCTTAAGTCGTGTAGATTTGCAAATAATTATGAAAGTTTGTTTTTGTAATGATTTATGGTGATAAATTTAAGAAAACGTGTTTTCCATAAGAAATACATTGAAAACGGTGTTTTTCACACTTTTTATTTGGGCGCGACTTTTAGCTGCCATTTATTAATATTTTCAAGAAGTGCATGGTATCAATTTGTAGGAAATTTTATTCTCTTTCAGAATATCACCTTCCACTTTGGTCGATTTCCTCACCATTTAAAAGTGATTTGCAAAAAAGCTAAGCAACCTCCGAATTTATAGTAATGGGAAAATATTGAGTTTGGATATTTTTGTTAAACTTTGCACAACTAAATCTAGACTTCTACTGGACCGATTTTGTTAATTGATGCGTCATTAGAAAGCCTAACCCATGTAGATTTGCAAATAATTATGAAACTTTGATTTTATTAGATATTTAGGTAAAAAAATAAAAATAACAAAAATACATTAAAAACTGGGTTTTTCAAGTTTCTCTTTTCAAGATTCTATTTGTAGCCAGCTTTTGGCTGCCTTTATTAAGTATTTTCAAGAATTGCATAGTAGTTATATGTAGTAAATTTTATTCTCTTTCAGAATACCACATTCACTTTGGTAAATTTCCCCTCCATTTAAACGATATTGGCAATAATCTAAGTGATCTCCAAATTTATAGTGGTGAGAAAATACTGAATTAGATATATTTTTGTTAAACTTTGTACAACTAAATCTAGACTTCTACCGGACCGATTTTGTTACTTAATGGGTCGTTGGAAAGCCTAATTTGTGTAGATTTGCAAATAATTATGAAACTTAAATTTTATTAGATATTCAAGGTAAAAAAATAAAAAAATAAAAAATAATACATTTAAAACTCCTTTTATTCCAGGTTTATATTTAAATGTTATATCTGTAGCCAACTTTAGGCTGCCTTTATTGAGTATATTCAAGAAATTCATAATAGTAATTTGTAGGAAATTTTATTCTCTTTCAGAATATCACCTTCCACTTTGGTCGATTTCCTCACCGTTTCAAAGTTATTTGCAAAAACGTTAAGCAACCTCCAGGTTTATAGTAGTGAGAAAATACTTAATTAAAGTGTTGTAAAACTTTGTACAATTAAATCTACAGTTCTACTGAACCGATTTTATTAATTAATAGGCCATTAGATAGCTTAATTTGTGAAGATTTGCAAATAATTATGAAAGTACTGTTAGGCTGGTATTACACTATCATAGTTCTATGACATATTATATTATCAAATATATGATAATATGTTCTCTCAAGGAGAACATATTATCATAGTTCAAAACCATTATAATAGTTGGTACATTACACTGTAATAATTTTCATCAAAGACATATGATAATAGATATATGTCATAGAACTATGATAGTGTAATACGGGCCTTAAAGGTTGCAAGCAAGATCATTTGGCTATAAATCGATGATAAATAACTCCATTTTTTTAACAATTAGTGTTGGTCGTGCTTTAGCTGTGTGCTTTAATGAAATGGAAGCTGGTATTTCAATGAAGGTTCTTAGGTCAAAACAAATAGAATAACGTAATTAGAACTAAGTAAATGTATCTAAAACTAAATTCCATATCCAAGATATAATCAAATTTCTATTTTCTGATTGAGCGATACATTATCTTGAACTTAACTGATTAAAACTATCAATATCTCAAGTGAAACCCTTTGAAGTATTTCACTACCAAGACATATAAAATAACTTAAATAAAAATAGAGTTACGTATCATTGATTGCAGATAGGTACTAAAATGATTGTATTTATTTTTGATTCGTGATTCAGCAGTGTGCTTTAGGTAGTACAATCTTAATAATCAATAGCTCAAATGAAAGCTGGTATTTCACTTAAGGTTTTTAGACCAAAATGTATAATGCAATTAGAACTGCTGGAATACATCTTTAATTGAAGAGGAAAAAAATTCTTTCGTCGAGTAATACATTAGATAAATTAATGATGATGCTTGATGACAAATATGTGCTTGCAAAGCTTTATTTCAAGACCAAAATTATGAAAATCGGACAGGTTGAAGAGCCCTCCTGTAAACCATCGCCCGCCTGCGAAACATTGAACTCGAAAAAAAACCAAATTTAACTCCCATAAGAAATGTACAGGGAGTCAGTTTGTGAATAACTCAAAATATACGTCAAAATGAATGCCGATGCTTGATGAAAATCTGAGGTACGTCCATACCTTTAGTTTAAGGCCAAAATTATGAAAATCGGTCGGGTAGAAGAGCTAACCCGACTCGGTAAAGAAAAACCAATTATTTTTATAGATGGCAATAATTGGTTTACCGGTATGCATAATCTAATCATACGAAACATGTGTTAATAATTCAACAGCTTATTGTTATATTGTTATCTAATTATTTTTTCTTTGATTAAATGTTGTTGTTAACAATTTGCATTTATGTTTAAAGTGTGTTCTTTATGTTAAATGTGTGATTCTAATGTTATGTGCTTAAACTGTACCATTAATATTAGTGAGTAAAGTGGTGTATGGATTTCGTAACCATCATTTTACTAGAGACCGTTCGTTGTATTTAACCACAAAGGGCACTGTTGCTAGTTAAGTATAAATTTGTATTTTAAACTCACTTAAATTCAGTGCACATTGGACTTACCTTTTGGACAACCACAAAATTTGATTTCATTGTTGGGATGTTGTAAGTTTAACACATTAATTAATTAGACAGTATTTAATTTATATTTTTTTTTGCATTCAAGCCAGCATGACACCCTACCCTGAGATAGAGCCCATCTAAATTATACTATTGTAAATTTGAAACTTTATTTAAAACTTATCTTCCATTTTATTATAACTTAAACCTATATTCCATTGTCAGTCTTTTCATTGTCTAGCCTTTTAAATTTCGTTAACTATCTGTCACATTTTTTCCAATAAAATACTTATTGTAATTTGTATATCGTTCTGTTATTCCACATAGAATAGGCCCAGCCTAAAATGAATATTGTGAGGAGATTTGACAACTGAGCATTATTTTTGGACCAGGGCATTGTCTGGTTTCACTGCTAGTTACGTTATACTTTAGTCAGTTAAACAAGTGGTAGCGTAATGTGTGACTGACTGAGGATCTGCGTCTATAAGGCCCCAAGCCCCCAGTGCCAGGGTGGAGTCTGAGATGAGCAGCTTTTTGCAGTCCTCTATGAGATTCTTGACATGTTCAACACTGGCTTGGTTGTCCTCCTCCAAGTCAGAGCCTCCCATCAGCATATCTTCTGACAGAGGGTTACCTGCAACATCAACAGAGTGTATAACCAACTAGTCAGAACACAGAACATAATCATGCTTTATCTAACAGAGACAACATAAACTTACTAATTCTGAAAACTTGGCATAATTCATTCCGGTTATAAATAGCTAGCTTATTAACTTGATATTCTTTTATTTACAATCAAAATTATTATGAAATTCTCCAACTGAATTGATTTATAGAGAAATAAAAAATGTGTTGAATGTTTTAAGTATATCATACCTAACATGACATCAATGGTAGCTTGTCTATATGCATCCTTGAACCTGCTTAGGTAGTATCTGAAACAACAAACCATCATAAAAGCATGCGGTACATTATATTTTGAATTAAATTAATTTAGGAATTTGTTCTGTATGTGCAACATTAATCTTTAGATATCATGAGAGTCTTATGTTAAAGTTAGACAACATGAGGTGAGAAATAATTTTGCAGGTGTATTATGTTGGTTGAAAACATGTAAATCATGGCCTTGAAAATTTAAACTTGTATTTGGCATATCATCCTTCCTTAAAATGTTTAGTGTATGTTTAAAAAAAACATGAGAAATAATCAAACATTAATAAGTAAAACACCATTTAAGTAAGAACTATTTGTAGTTTTTACATATTTTGTATTGTTTGATGGTCATACAGTATATATAAGGGAATTATTAAACCAAGCATTGTATAACATAAAGTGCAACGGTGCAATGACACTCCAAGTGATAATTGGGGCAGCTGAGTTGTTCAAGATAGAATAAGCAAAGGTTAATTGGGAATGATTCACTTTTTGGTAAAAAGTACTTGAAATTCTCTCTTGGAACTAACCTTGAAACTTTATACAGCGCCAAAGTTAGATTGATTTCTGGCAAAATTACAGAGGTTTCTGGAATGTACTTGGACGAGTTCGAGAGGACATCTATTGTATCATCTGCTAAGGTATTGAGCTGATCAGGGGGGGAGGGGGGTCGACCTTGCATTATGTCCACGACTGCTTGACGTGTAGAATCACACAAGTGTACTCGTAAGTAACTACCAACACCAAACCAACATTCTTACTCTTTATTTTTACAATTTTAATAAAGTTCACACTATAAACCTCAAAGCATTTTAAATCCTAACTAGTGAACCTGTGTGGCACAATGCCCCGCAAAATTACATATGAATTTAGAAAACAAACTCATCGTGTTATATATTGGCTCAACGTCAAAGATTAAATACAGTAATAATAAATCCTTAGTTAGAAGAGAAGCAGTCCAGCCATTTCCTAGCTCTATGTGTATTTTATTTAGTAAATTAATAAGTGTCCAAGTGTGTTATAGGGTAGTTATTTTTTTATGATTTTTAAAACCAAATTTAACAAAACTTTTTATCATATCAAACCAAAAAATGCTGCTTGAAGAAAACACTTTTAAAAATAAACACTAAAAAAAACAATATCTTAACCACAAAAGTACTTCCATGAATACTACGATTTTAGTCTTAAAGTTACCTTCAGGGCCCTGTTTCATAAAAATACTAGTCTAGTAATTACTAGTCTAGTAAATACTAGTCCCGTATTTACCTGTCCTACTAATTTGTGTTTCATAAACGTTTTTATACCACTAGTAAACTAGTGTATTTTACTAGTCACGTGACCAACTTTACAAGGTAAACTTTCAAAACAAATTTCTAACCTCAATCACGGGTTTTCAAACCCTTTATAAAGGGTTTTAATTTTGTTTTCATTTGATACAAAAAGTAAATAGTAGTAGAAACGCAGTATTTTCTTTTAATTAATAACTATACAGACACATAAGTAAAACAATCACACATTATTTATCAAACCGCTATTATTTATGTTCATCAGTGAGCCCGCCGACGCGCCGGCGCGGCATCGCGTCGCTGCAATCAACACGGTGATTGTAGTAGCCCGTTGTAGGCCTAGTTGCGGCGCTCAACAGTTGGGTGGAAATTGATCTGTTGCTGCCGCATTCGCTGTGATTTGTATAGTTTTTGTTTTATTCTGACATATAAAATTAAGCTTGCTATAAGTAAAGAAAAGAAATCTCAAATTTTAAATGTAATTAAATCGTCTAAGGACATTTTGTTTATTGGGCCGGTTTCAAGTACCCTTACCTATGTTTTCAAATATTCGAATGCATAAGGAAAATTGGGGTTAAAAACCATTTGGTGATATTCTAATTTAGAGTCTACAAACCATGAATAATAAGCCTAAACGATTATTGATGTAACAAATAATTGAAACACCGTTACAAGCAATGGAGAAGTAGGTTTTCAAGTATAGTAAAACATGGCATAGTCACTACGGCAGGGACAGGGCGTAGTTTAGAGGTAGAGTTCTTGCTAGTCATGTGGCGGGTCCCTGGTTCAAATCCGTGCCACTCATTATACTTTTTATTCCATTAATTAAACTTGTACATGTTTTTACATTAAAAAAACATGATCAACATCTAATTTTGTTATTACTTTGAATAACAAAATCAGAATACGAAAATGGATTAAAAGTAATGTTTTTATGATAAGCAGTTCAGTTCAACGCCCGAAAATCAAATATAGGCCTACAAAATTTTTATTACATCACAGGGTTTTAGCTATTTAGGGAAGCAAATAATAAGCACCTCAAAAAATACAATGCAACTCATCTTTAAAAGTGTCTTACTATTATTTCCTATTTAAATGTCTTTAAATAAAACCGAGAGCCTTGGGTGTAAAATAATCTGATTAATGTTGCAATGTTGGATACATTTGTTACATCTTTGTATGCAATACACGGTATGCGGTTTTAATTTGGTTTCTCTCAAAGCTTAAAAATCTTTTCTCTGTGATAACTAATAGTTTATATAACCATGAAATTTAACTCAAGTAAAATTAGACTAAAATTTCACATAAATTGATAACTTATAATTATAATTAATTCTAATAGGGCGATTGTACGTGTTTATTTATTCTATGATTGTACATACATTATAACATTTTATTTCTCTCATTTTGTACTACGCCACATTTATTAATTGTAATTTATATCAAATAATTATCATTTTAGCACTCACAGATCTATTTTTATCTTAAATTGAAAACGTGAGCCAATTTGCACTTGCAAAAAGAACTTAATAATTCATTTTTTTTATGATGTGAGTAATGAAATAACTCTCTTTCCAAAAAATACTAGTCTACTTCAAATAATACGGGTGTAGAGAGGTTGTTAGAAAATGGCAAGTATTTACCAGTGTAATTTACAAGAGTAAAACTTTATGAAACACATTGCTGTCTACACTAGTAAAGACCACTAGTAATACTAGTCCCTACACTAGTAACTAGTATTTTACACTAGTAGGTTTTTGAAACGTAGACTTGTAAAATACACTAGTATTACTAGTCTATGGACTAGTAAATACTAGACTAGTAGTTTTATGAAACAGGGCCCAGGAAGATTACCCTCGTCAAACTTTCCCATAATGAATATGTTGTGTAACCTATTAAAAGTTGTAGCCTTACTTAAAACAACATATAATATAGTTGATGGGTAAGAACAGTGCTGATCTTTCTTTAATTAAAGTGCTTAAGTTACTTGGCTTGGTGCTTTCATAACTGCAAACCCAAAATACACCCACAAGTAAAAAATAATCAAGTTATTGTTTGTGTAACCTATGTTTGTGTAACTACATTATTCACATGAAGTGGATGATTTGTTTGGTTTGTCGATAAGCTGTTTTGTTTCAAATGAATTAATAATGTCAAAGATTTGTGATTTTAAATACATAAATTATCATAGTAAAGTTTTCTAAATCATAATAACTTATTCTCAGCTAAATTTTACTATTCCCAGCATTAAAATAGAGTAGTAAGATCCATTATGAGTAAACTTTAAGGTATACAATCCTTGATTGAAATGTAATATACATTAACAGTCATAATACACATCAATTATTATTTAGTAAACTTTGACTATGTTCAAGTAACAAACATATGTTTCTGTTAATAAAAATTATCTCCTATGTTGTCCTTATGGAGAAATACAAAACTTTAAAGGGCCCCAAGGCCTCACTCTCTAATTATTTCCCTAAACAGAAAGTTTCCTCCACAACTTCACGTTACGCTCTTTCCAATGACACCAAAAACATATCAGTTCAGTAGTTTCGGAGGAGTAATTGTCCCAAAAAACCTGCTTGCGTATTAAAAAAGTACTAGTGTCCCTGTTGCTCGAATTTGAGCAATTGCTAAGTATTACAGGCGTTATTTTAAAACGAATAACAGTAATAATTTCGGATGACTTTAAAAGATCCGACTCAAAGATTATGGAAATACTCAAGATGTACACAACAGATCGATTTAATTAAAATTTCTTGTAAATATCTTATCATTTTTCTAAAGCTGATCTTGTTTTTTAGTGTTTTATACAAACAGCCTTACTCATAGCTGCATTAGGTTGTCCATATAACTATTATAAATAAAAAAAAAAAAACATTATTTCTATTTCTTCTCCTTGGTGTTGTCCTATGACTTTCCTATGTTTCCATAGTTTGCAATTCGGCTCTTTCAATGATTACTAAGAAATTCAGCACAGTGTTAATTCAGTTTTCCTTTTAGTAGGTACATCAAATTATCCAGGCTCTCTTGCTTTTTTCCATTGTAATATTTACGCCAACCCAAATTAAAAAAGTAAATATTTCATTTCAAAAATGTACAAAAAATCTTTCTATACTAGATTAATGACCTTTCTTGAAAGTAACCGCTTAATTGATGGTAACCAACATGGATTTAGGACTGGAAAGTCGACCAAAACAGCAACCGTTCAATTTATCGATTCCATTATTGATGCCATTGATAGCGGGGGTGAAAAATGTATTGGACTATTTATGGACCTACAAAAGGCATTTGATAGAGTCTGTCATGGTACCATGGTTAAAATTTTGACACAGTTTGGTATTAAGGCAAAGCACTTGATTGGTTCAGATCATATCTAACCGATAGGCAACAGTTTGTTGAAATAGCTTATACAACTGGCGGAAAACAAACAAAAATCAATTCAAAAACACAGTGCATAAAATTTGGAGTCCCACAGTGGTCAATATTAGGCCCATTATTATTCATTATCTACATAAATGGAATTAATGATATATTGGATGATCATAATGCCAACAAAGTAGTTTTGTATGCTGATGATTCAAATTTGAAAGTTTCAGGACCAACTGATGAACATATTAAAAGATCTGCAGAAGAAGAGTTAAATAACATAGTTTCATTTTTGACAAATCTAAACTTACAGATAAATTTAAATAAAACAAACTTTATAAATTTCAATACAAATAAGAACCAAAATGGTTTTTCAACAGAAATAAAATTAAATGACAACATTATTTCAGAAGTAACGGATGGTAAATTTTTGGGGTTAACTGTGGATTGCAATTTCAACTGGAATAAACATGTTAACAAAGTTTAAGGCAAGATGAATTCAGGAATTTATGTCCTTAGAAGATTATCTAAATTCTGTGATTTAGCCACTTTAAAAGTAATATATTTTAGCTTGATTCACTCACATTTGGCATATAACATTTGTGTATACGGAGCAACAACTCACAAAAACTTAAAAAAGTTATTGAAACTCCAAAAGAAATGTTAAGAATCATGCTAGGTTTGAAGTACAAGGCTCATGTAAAGGATAGGTTTAGTGAACTAGGAATTTTACCAGTATTTAATTTATATGTATATGAATGTGTAATGTATGTGAAACAAAACATGACTAATACCAGTTTTCTTGGCCATAATCAAACTTACAATACTAGGCACAAAAATTATTTGAAATTAAAAACACATAAATTAGAATTAAAAAAAGACCACATATTAGGGCCTCGCTCTCTAAATTTCCCTAAAAAGAATGTTTCCTGCACCACTTCACGTTACGCTCTTTCCAATGACACAAAAAAACATGTCAATCGGTTCAGTAGTTTCGGAGGAGTAATTGTCACAAAAAACCGTATTAAATAAGTATAGATGAGCTAAAGCAACTGTTATGACCCATCAACTTTGTC